CCTACATTTATGTTAGCCAATCTGATAGGTGTAAAATGATATCTCAAGGTTGTTTTAATTTGCATTTTTCTAATCAATAATGATTTTGAGCATTTTTTATATGACTAGGAATTGTTTGGATTTCTTTATCTAAAAAATGCCTGTTCAAATTACGTTTTAAATGGAGCTACTTAACTATCCTTTAAACTCAAATTATTCTGACTTTCATTGAATGGTCATCAATAGACCCAGCTCAAGCCTTTGTGACTTGACTCATTGTTTAGTTTTGAAGGCTTAGAATGTGTGTCAATCACAGTTGTTTTCCAAGGGTCTTCCCCTCCCAGACTGATATCTTCGTGATGATAAATTGGGCAGTCTTTTGTCTTATTTCTTACCTAGCCCTTAGCCATGGGTGTTAGAAATGACCTTAATCTAGAAGGCCAAAGTCACCTACTGCATCCTGGGCCATCACCAGTTACCTTGACTTTTGTCTTGCCTTTGACTCCCACTTACTCTGGAGGAGAAACTGAGGCTGACAACTTTGTGCTCAGCTCTGACTCAGACAAGTACAGTTCATGAGCAAGTCAGTATCTCATGCTGTGGTGTCACTGGTTGTCCCTGAAAACGAAGAACAAACAGCAACAACTACTTATATGGGCACATTGAAGCAGTATGGCATATTAGATAGAGTACAGAGTTTGGAGTCGAGGAAGGCCTGGATTCAAATCCCACCTCTGACCTTTATTACCTATGTGACCCTGGGCAAAACACTAAATTTTTCTGAGCCTCAGTTTTGTCATTTATAAAATCAGAGGGTGGGATTAGATGACCTCTAAGGTACTTTCCACCTCTAAATGTGGGATTTAGGATCCTACATTTTCTCCACCTGTAGAATATAATTTCCTTGAAGGTGGGGACTTTCATTTTTATACTCGTATGCCTGGTATCTGGCAGATAGTAGGCATCTAATAAATACTTGATTGATTTGTAGGAGGGATACCAACCTGTATAAATAATATATGCATAAATAACAGTCACTTGACTGTGGCAGACATACAAATACATCACTGCATCGTTTAATGACTTTTATTCTTGTTATTTTTCAGTTGTCTCCAACTCTTCGTGACCCCATTTGGGGTTTTCTTGGCAAAGATACTGGAGTGGTTTACCATTTCCTTCTCCAGCTCATTTTACAGATGAAGAAACTGAGGCTAACAGGATAAGTGACTTACCCAGGGTCACACAGCTAGAAAGCATCTGAGGCTGCATTTGAATTCAGAGATGAGTCTTCCTGACTCCAGGACCAGCACTATGGCACCACCTAGCGGCCCAATCGCTTCTTTGCACCCTTTTATTACCTCCACACTTTTATTTTATTGCCTTTTAACTTCAGATCTTTTGAAGGGTATAAAGTAATTCTAATGACTATTTTCTTCTAACTAGCTGGAAGTAGCTAATGCTAGGTAAATGTATTTTCAATGGAACCACTGGGGATTGGGGTCCCTATTTGTAATAATAATAGTGTCATGCTTGTGCTTACCTTCCTTTTGAATCCTTTTGTAAAAGTAAAAAGGATTGAACCAAATTGAGTAATTCTTTCTACTTCTAATTTCTGCAAAAGGTAAATTCTTATTTTGCTGTTGAAACAATTTCTGCTTTCTTTCCCTTTAAGCTCAGGGCTATCAACTTTTCTCTTATTGTTTCCACAATGAATAAAGCAAAATGAATTGTAAAAATTCTAAGAACAGTGAGCTTTTTATTATACATGGCATCTACATTGTGGCTTTAGAATCCTGGGGACAGATTATCCTCCCTAAGTAATGTTCTATTTAGATATTTAGACTACTATTCAAAAGTAGTTTGCATTCTCTACCCTAATACATTCCATCCAATGCCTAGAGTGGTTTTGAGGTTTAGAAAGAAGCTTGCCTGGAATGTAAGGGTTTCTGAGGTCTCTCCAAGGAATTTTGCTCAAAACAGAGTTCGTTTCTGCTGGTTTATTTGTAGTATATTTTTCCCAGCTGTCTCTTCCTATTTATCACATTGTGGAAACTATGCTTTAGAAAATATTTCTGAAAAGTTATTATTTACTTCTGCAAATAGTGTCCTATTTTCTCATTATCTACTCTTGAATGTGGAACCAGAGAGACTTTAGGAAAGGATTGGACATGGTGATATTCATGCTCACCTAGCTCTTGTATCCTTCCTGTGTCCTATGACAGATACTGAAAAGATCTTTTCACTTCGTCAGAAACATCCTATGAGCCAAAAGTCCCAGGTGAGAGACCACCACCTGGCAGAGAGTATTTGGTATGAATTCTTGGAAGACACAAAAATGGAAGAGAATTGTATGATGGGTATAACTTTCTCATGTAACAGCAGAGCTACTGTTGTGAGATTAAGAATAATAAGACAGAATGAAAGGGTTGGCTTTTTATGGGAAAAATAAATGATGTTTATTTCCAGATGTTATTATTTTGCATTGTGCTCCTGACATGAACAGGCTGATGTAGTTCTTGTGAGCCCTAGTGAGCTCTTATTGAATCTTCAACTCCTCTTTTCACTGATGAGTTGAGACCCCAGAGCTTGACTTGACATCTCTTCTTTAGGGTCGGGGTAATTCTCCAATGCCTAAGGCTCAAAGCCTCACCAGTACCAGTGTGTTTCTCTTCCCTCCCACCCTCCAGGATTATCAACTGAGAAACAATTTACTTAGCCAGTCTTAAGTAGAAAGGATTATTTACCAAGGTGCTACATTAAGAACACTTGGTACAAAACTGTTCTTCCCAAAGTACTCTATCACAAATATAAACAGACTCCAGAGGAAAGTGGGTTCAAGCTTAGAAAGCACATTTGAAAAGGAACTGATGTGGTTTAGAGGTGCAGAGACCCCAAAACTATTGAAATACAGGGTAGAGTCATGTGGAAAGAATTCATGGACTCAAGCAGTCTTACAGTCAAGTGGCAAAAAGTTTATTGAAATACTAATAGGGAGCTAAGGAGCAGAGCTCCTTAGGGAACTTGGAACTTAATGGGGATGACGCTAAGGCTTATACAGAAAAAGTTCAGTGAATGGTGTGCCAAGTATGCTAATTAGGTGGTGAACATACAGTTTCTATAACTTGGGCACAGGAGTCAGTCACTATTGGCATAGCCTGGGGAGGGGTGGGGGCTTCAAAGAGGTGTGTTTTTGGTTTGTTGATGCTATAGCTTGACCTCTGGATTGTATATGGTAACTGTGGGAATCATTACATGATAGTTCTGCTGGTACAAAATAATCCTGTTCATACAAGGGAATTTCTACAAAGGTCAGCTTGTTCTTGTAACAAGGAGAGTTTGCCTCACTGGGGCCCACTCATGAGTTATTGCCAGAGATAGGGTCTTTGGGCAAAGCAGGGATATGGCCCTAGGGCTGAGTCCAAGCACCCCATCAGAACTAACTCAGCTCCTACTTGCTGGGAGTACTGTTCTTTCATTCATGAGCTAACATGATGCTATATTTATATAATGAAATCATTCAGTGCACTGGAACCTCAAACAAACCTTTCCTTTAATTTCATTAAATGGCTTTCAGAAATTTTCCACACTTAAATCCAAGGTCTTTTGATTGATTGAGAAGTGTTCTTGCTTAATAAAAGTATCACAGTAACAGTGGGGAGAAAGGGGTTTACCTCTTCTCACTTAAAGTAACTGGCTAAAATGGGGAGGTGTTTTTCAACTCTTAGTAAGCAACTCCCACCTGGATTTCAAAGATTGAGGGACTCCCTCTGATGGGCAGAGGTTTAGTAGATCGCTCCCAATTAGCTCGGCTGACCTGACAGTCTTGTCAGTACACCAAGCTTTCTTCCTAGGGTCTACTATTAGCCCTTACATTCTCCTGGCATAGCCTTTGAGAAACCTGTAGAGGTTGAGGGCAAATACTCGAAGAAGAACTGCCTGCTTCTTCACCCAGCAGTCAGTCAGACATTTACTAAGTACCTACTAAGTGCTAAGCACTGTGCTAAGAGTTGGAGATAGGAGAAAAGGCAAAACTAGTACCTGCTCTCAAGCAGTTCTCAGTTTCATGGATGTACAAACAAACTGTACTTGGGATAAACTGGAACCAATCAACAGAGTGAAGGCACTAGAATGAAAGGATTAGCACTTTCAGCAGGGCAGTCCAGGGCCCTTGGAAACTCAAAGTGGGCAAGTGGAGGGGTGATTCCTGTTCTCAAGACCCTGGCATTGTGGATGTGTCTGTATGAGAGAATGGGGCACCCCGGCTAACAGGGCTCCTCAGTTGGAGGTTACTAGGTTAGCAGAGGGCAAAGGACCCTTTCTAAATGTAGTTTGGACTCCATGATCTCAATGTATCCCACTGCTTGGATAATAGGGCCTGGAAGCCTAACACTTCTGTAAAGAGATTCTGCCCCTAAAGGATATTCTTTCCAAAGCTTCCCTTTTTGGGGAGCGAGGATGGCTGGAGCTCACAGCTGCTCAGGCTCCTGGGAAGCTAATGTATTTCAAGAAAAAGAGGCCTAGCATTGGACGCAGACTACCTGGGCCCTTCTCTGGAACTCTCATTGTCTGCTATGACCATCCAATGAGCTGGATGGCTGGCCAAGTCACTTCATCTTCACCCAGCCTCAGTTTCCTCCCCCTGTAAAATGGGGATAACGCCCACCCTCATCGGGCCGTAGAGGATCAATGAGATAGGAGGAGCTTTAAGCTATTATGGTGGTTGATGCAGGGTTAGGTTACGGGGTCAGGAGAAACAAACCAAGCCGACTTCAGTGCAGAGGGAAGAGAACAAGAGAACAAATGGACCGGCTGAATGAGCAAGGCGCATGCACCAGACCGCCTAGCGTTCCGCCGCGTTCCGCCGCGTTCCGCCCCGTTCCGCCCCGTTCCGCCCCGTTCCGCCGCGTTCCGCCGCGTTCCGCCGCGTTCCGCCCCGTG